CCACCCCCTTGCCCCCAGATGTGCCCCACACCATCCACAGACCTGGAGGGGATCATGTGGGAGGATCCCCTTCAAGGGGCCAAAAATTGTATAAATCGCATCTGCTAAAAAAATGACGGGAGGATAATGAAAACCCTTCAAAACTAGGGGGGCCCAAGCCCATGATGACACTCTTCAGGTCCTTGTTCTTCAGGCGGAATATTGCTGCCACTAACAGCACCTTTAAAGGAGGTAAAAATTGCCGACCTAAAAAATGTACGGGAATTTTAAACGGCACCATCGGAGATAAACACCTCAATTACTGGGAGCGCTTGGGGTTTCAAAACCTGTATTCCCTGGAAGCAGGAGGAGAGATACATGATTATATACACCGAAAATCCTGGGGACAGTACAAAATTGACACGAAAATCACTCACTACGAAGCAAAAGATTGGAGACGATCACCATCCTCCCAATGAAAAGCGGGGGGTTTCACTACCTTAAAAGAACCAACAATAAGTGTCAGGGCCCGAGAAGTTCAATGCCCCCCACATACATAAGGGGGTTACCAACAGCCCCCGGGCAGTCTTAAAAGCTGGCACTGGAAAGCACCAAAAGTCGTCCTCATCACCCGGGCTGTGGTCGTATTTGGGTTTTCATGCAGCCCAGCACAGCCTGGTTGATCAGGCTCTGATCCCCAGGAGGCCTGGGCACAGACCGGGCCGCGGGGGGATTTCCCCGGGAAATCTCTCCCGGTAAACTCCAGGTCTCCACACCCAGGATGTGACCCACACCATCCCCTAGCCCCAGGATGGACCCACACCGTCCACACCCCAGGGTGTGACCCACACCAGTCCACTAAAAACCCAGGATGTGACCCACACCAGTCCAAGCAACCAGATTGACCCCCACCAGTCCACTAGCACCCAGGATGTGCCCCACCAGTCCACTACACCCCGGATGTGCCCCCACCAGTCCCTAACACCCAGGGTGTGACCCCCAAACCGTCCACTAAAAACCCAGGGTGTACCCCCACCAGTCCCCTAGACCCAGGGGCCCCCCACCAGCACAACACCCAGATGTGACCCACACCGTCCAATAACACCCGGTGTGACCCACACCCGTCCCCTAACACCCCGGGTGTGACCCACACCAGTCCCCAACACCCAGATGTGACCCAACCAGTCCACTAACACCCGGGGGTGTACCCCCACCATTCCCTAGCACCCAGGGTGTGAACCCCCACCTTTCCCCAACACCCAGGAGGGGCCCCACCATCCACTAACCCCCGGATGTGACCCACACCCGTCCACTAACACCCCGGATGTGACCCCCACCCCGTCCACTAAACCCCGGATGTGACCCACACCAGTCCACTACACCCAGGGTGGACCCCCCCCCATCCACAACACCCCGGATGTGACCCCACCACCACCACCCAGGATGTGACCCACACCAGTCCCCTAGCACCCAGGGTTGGGCCCCCACCAGTCCACTAGCACCCAGGAGTGACCCACACCCGTCCACTAACACCCAGGATGTGACCCACACCAGTCCCCCTAAACCCAGGATGTGACCCACACCAGTCCACTCACCCAGGATGTGACCCCCCCCAGTCCACTAAAAACCCCGATGTGACCAAAACATCCCTACACCCAGGGTGTGCCCCCACCCGTCCCCCTAGCCCCAGGATGACCCACACCGTCCCCCTAACCCCAGGAGGGGACCCCCCCAGTCCACTAGCCCAGGATGTGACCCCCCCCAGTCCCTACCCCAGGGGTGACCCACACCAGTCCACTAACACCCCGGATGGACCCCAAACCATCCACTAACACCCAGGGGTGTGACCCACACCCTCCCAACACCCAAAGTGCCCCCACCCTCCCCCTACACCCCGATTACCCACACCCTCCTCTAACACCCAGGTGTGACCCACACCAGTCCACTAACACCCGGATTTACCTACACCTTTTCCCCAACCCAATGTACCACACCAGTCCACTAAAACCCAGGTTGACCCCACCCTCCACTAACACAAGGGTGTGACCCCACCAGTCCAAAAACACCCAGGTGTGGGCCCACACCAGTCAAAAACACCCGGATGTGACCCACACCAGTCCCCTAACACCCAGGATGTACCCCACCATCCCCTAACACCCAGATGACCCACCCATCCAAAAACCCAGGATGTGACCCACACCAGTCCCTAACACCAGGGGTGACCCACACCAGTCCAATAACACCCAGGATGTGACCCACACCAGTCCACTAACACCCAGGATGTGACCCACACCAGTCCACTAGCACCCAGGATGTGACCCACACCAGTCCACTAGCACCCAGGATGTGACCCACACCAGTCCACTAACACCCAGGATGTGACCCACACCAGTCCACTAGCACCCAGGATGTGACCCACACCAGGGGGGGGGGTTGGCCTGTACATTGCAGAGTCACTTGTTTGCACAGAACTGCTTAATGCCTCAAATGACGTAGTGGAAGTTTTAGCAGTAAAGGTCGAGAACCAAAACCTAGTCATTGTGGTAGTCTACAAGCCTCCGGATGCAACATCCCAGCAATTCCAGGAACAGCTGTTAAAAATTGACCACTGTCTGGAAAATCTTCCAGCTCCTGCACCCAACATCTTGCTCCTGGGGGATTTCAACTTAAGGCACCTAAAATGGAGGAATATAGCAAATAATATTGTTGCAGTAATAACACCAGGAGGCAGCTCTGATGAAAACTCACACTCACACGAGCTTTTAAATCTCTACACAAAATTCAATTTAACCAGCAAATAATAGAGCCTACTAGACTGGAGAATACACTAGACCTCATATTCACTAACAATGATGATCTGATAAGAAATTGTCACCATATCAAAAACATATACTCAGATCACAACATAATTGAGGTTCAGACATGTATGCGAGGAGCCCCAGACCGACAAAATGAGACTAGTCACGAGGGAGCATTCACCAATTCAACTTCAATAACAAAAACATAAAGTGGGACCAAGTAACCAAGTCCTAACCGATATAAGCTGGGAAGATATACTAAGCAACACAGACCCAAACTTATGCCTAGAACAGATTAACTCGGTGGCACTCTATGTATGCACAAGGCTTATTCCTCTAAGAAAAAGGGGGAGTAGATGTAAAATAGAAAGAGACAGGCGCTCCCTTTACAGGCGACGAGAAAAGATAACAGAGCGGCTAAAAGAGGTCAATATATCTGAAATGCCCAGGAGACACTGGTCAGAGAAAATAGCAAGCATCGAACTTAAGCTAAAAGAATCATTTAGGAGTCAGGAATCACGGGAAGAACTAAAAGCTATAAATGAAATCGAAAGAAACCCAAAGTATTTCTTTCTCCTATGCCAAATCAAAATCGAGAACAACGCCCAGTATTGGGCCCCTACTTAAACAAGATGGGTCCTACACAGATGACAGCATGGAAATGAGTGAGCTACTCAAGTCCCAATATGACTCAGTTTTTAGCAAGCCGCTAACCAGACTGAGAGTCGAAGATCAAAATGAATTTTTTATGAGAGAGCCACAAAATTTGATTAACACAAGCCTATCCGATGTTATCCTGACGCCAAATGACTTCGAACAGGCGATAAATGACATGCCCATGCACTCTGCCCCAGGGCCAGACTCATGGAACTCTGTGTTCATCAAGAACTGCAATAAGCCCCTATCACGAGCCTTTTCCATCCTATGGAGAGGGAGCATGGACACGGGGGTCGTCCCTCAGTTACTAAAAACAACAGACATAGCCCCACTCCACAAAGGGGGCAGTAAAGCAACAGCAAAGAACTACAGACCAATAGCACTAACATCCCATATCATAAAAATCTTTGAAAGGGTCCTAAGAAGCAAGATCACCACCCATCTAGAAACCCATCAGTTACACAACCCAGGGCAACATGGGTTTAGAACAGGTCGCTCCTGTCTGTCTCAGCTACTGGATCACTACGACAAGGTCCTAAATGCACTAGAAGACAAAAAGAATGCAGATGTAATATATACAGACTTTGCAAAAGCCTTCGACAAGTGTGACCATGGCGTAATAGCGCACAAAATGCGCGCTAAAGGAATAACAGGAAAAGTCGGTCGATGGATCTATAATTTCCTCACTAACAGAACACAGAGAGGTAAACTCCAGGTAAACTCCAGGTAAACTAGCACCCAGGATGTGACCCACACCAGTCCACTAACACCCAGGATGTGACCCACACCAGTCCACTAGCACCCAGGATGTGACCCACACCAGTCCACTAACACCCAGGATGCGACCCACACCAGTCCACTAACACCCAGGATGTGACCCACACCAGTCCACTAACACCCAGGATGTGACCCACACCAGTCCACTAACACCCAGGATGTGACCCACACCAGTCCACTAACACCCAGGATGCGACCCACACCAGTCCACTAACACCCAGGATGCGACCCACACCAGTCCACTAACACCCAGGTACCTACTTTACTGAAGGGTGAACATAGACACCAGGTGTCTTAAGGATACACATCCTAATATTTTCCACCCGTACCGGGGATTGACCCCCGGACCTGTATGTGTGAGCCGAGTACGGTAGTGTTCCAGCTATCTCACTTGCTCTAACCTTCTTACTTTATCCTAACTAATTCACATTATACATAATAACTAACTTTACGTATCTAAGACAAAATAAAGTTACCTGGAATATTATTATAATCAAGGGGAAGCGCTAAACCCGAGGATTATACAGCGCCTGGGGGGGGGATGTGGAAGGCATTCAGGCTTAATTTGGGGAACTGGAGCACAGATCCAATTCCCTAAATCAAGAGCCCCTCACCAACATCAAGGAACCTTCCTTGAGGGGAAAGTTACCTGGAATAAACCAATAAACCCAAACACTAACTTATTTTACTAAAAAAATCATCTAGACAATATATTTTGTAGTTTGTGTCACACATATAACTGACTGAACACTAACAAATAAGGTTGTTAATCATAAATGATGAACTAACCTCTTATTTTATTGGTAAATATTGTTGATGTTGAGGTGAAGGTTGATGTTGTGATGATGTGAGAGGAGCACCAAGTGTGAGCCGTACTTACTCCTGCTTGTATGTATATATTTCCGATATTTTCAGCGGTATTTATGATTTAGTTATATAAAGTTTATTTAGGGATAGGTATATGTAAGTGTAATTATCAGATAGTGTAATTATTTATGCTGATTGTTGTGTTTAGTAATCCACTGGTGTAAAGACCCCAATGGAAATGCAAAGGACTTAGTTTATTGTTTGTTATGTACCCCATACCCATCCTGTGGGCGGTGGTTATACCCATCCTGTGGGCGGTGGTTATACCCATCCTGTGGGCAGTGGTTATACCCATCCTGTGGGCGGTTATACCATCTGTGGGCGTATTAGTGTAATATGTTGTGTACCCCATACCCTTCCTGTGGGCGGTAGTCATACCAGTCTCGTGAACGGTAGTTATACCTATCCTGTGGGCGGTAGTCATACCCATCCTGTGGCCGGTATTGTTAATAGTTTTTTATGCACCCCATACCCATCCTGTGGGCGGTAGTCATACCCATCCTGTGGTCGGTAGTCATACCCATCCTGTGGGCGGTAGTTATACAAATCTTGGGTGGTAGTCATACCCATCCTGTGGGCGAAGGTAACCCATCGTGGCGGTAGTTATACCCATCCTTGGTGTAGTCAAAGATTAGAGGTACCTATTGGGTCCAGGGACTGGCCCAAAGATTTGATAGCGAAAAAGGGTACATTATTATTAAAATCATGGGGGAGTTTACCTGGAGAGAGTTCCGGGGGTCAACGCCCCGCGGCCCCGGTCTGTGACCGGCCCTCCTGGTGGATCAGAGCCTGATCAACCAGGCTTTTTAAACTGCGGCTGCACGCAAACCAACGTACGAGCCACAGCCCGGCTGATCAGGAACCGACTTTAGTGCTTGTCCAGTGCAGCTTGAAGACGCCAGGGGTCTGTTGGTAATCCTTCTTATGTATGCTGGGAGGCAGTTTGAACATCTCGGGCCCTGACACTTTTTGTATGGTCTCTTAAGTGCTAGTGACACCCTGCTTTTCATTGGGGGATGTTGCATCGCTGCCAAGTCTTTTGCTTTCATAGTGAGTGTTTTCGTGTGCAAGTTCGGTACAAATCCCTCTAGGATTTTCCAGGTGTATATAATCATGTATCTCTCCCAACTGCATTCCAGGGAATACAGGTTCAGGAACCTCAAGCGCTCCCAGTAATTGAGGTTTTTTTATCTCCGTATGCGCGCCGTGAAGGTTTTTCTGTACATTTTCTAGGTCACAATTTCACCTACTTGAAAGGTGCGTTAGTGGGGCAGCAAAAATTCCAGCCTAGATAGAACAGGTACCTGAAGAGTGTCATCATGGGCTTGGCCTCCCTATTTTTTAAGGTTCTCATTATCCATCCCATCATTTTCTGCAGATGTGATTGAAAACAATGCTATGGTCCTTGAAGGTGAGATCCTCCGACAATGATCACTCCCAGGTCTTTGACGTTGTGTTTCGCTCTATTTTGTGGCCAGAATTTTTTTTTGTACTCTGATGAAGATTTAATTTCCTCGTGTTTACCATATCTGAGTAATTGAAATTTCTCATCGTTAACTTCATATTTTTCTCAGCCCTAAAGTCGGTTATGTCTGCCTGGAGCCCTTTCAGTGTCTGCAATGGAAGACACTTGTCATGCAGATTCGGGTGTCCATCTGCAAAGAAAAGACCAAAGGTGCTGTGCTGACATCCTTGTCTATGTCGGATATGAGTGAAAGGAACAAGATGGGAGGATACTGTGCCTTGTGGAACAGAGCTTTCACCGTAGCTGCGCCCCGGACATTACTCTGTTGACGATACTCTCTGTGTTCTGTTAGTGAGGAAATTATAGATCCATCGACCGACTTTTCCTGTTATTCCTTTAGCACGCATTTTGTGCGCTATTACGCCATTGGTTTACACTTGTCGAAGGCTTTTTGCAAAGTCTGTATATATTACATCTGCATTCTTTTTATCTTCTAGTGCATTTAGGACCTTGTCGTAGTGATCCAATAGTTGGGGACAGACAGGAGCGACCTGTTCTAAACCCATGTTGCCCTGGGTTTTGTAACTGATGGGTTTCTAGATGGGTGGTGATCTTGCTTCTTAGGACCCCTTTCAAAGATTTTTATGATATGGATGTTAGTGTTATCGGTCTGTAGTTCTTTGCTGTTGCTTTACTCCCCCCTTTTGGAGTGGGGCTATGTCTGTTGTTTTTAGCAACTGTGGGACGACCCCCGTGTCCATGCCCCTCTCCATAGGAAGGAAAAGGCTCGTGATAGGGGCTTCTTGCAGTTCTTGATGAACACGGAGTTCCATGAGTCTGGCCCTAGGGCAGAGTTCATGGGCATGTCATTTATCGCTTGTTCGAAGTCATTTGGCGTCAGGATAACATCGGATAGGCTTGTGTTAACCAAATTTTGTGGCTCTCTCATAAAAAATTCATTTTGATCTTCGACTCTCAGTCTGGTTAGCGGCTTGCTAAAAACTGAGTCATATTGGGAAGCGCTAAACCCGGAGGATTATACAGCGCCTGGGGGGATGTGGAAGGCATTCAGGCTTAATTCGTTGAACTGGAGCACAGATCCAATTCCCTAAATCAAGAGCCCCTCACCAACATCAAGGAACCTTCCTTGAGGGGAAACAAGGTATAAAGGTAATGAATCATGTAAGTAAATTTACTTACGTTTATACATGGCTACAATCATGAACAAATTATTGAGTAATGAGCAATTTACACGTCTACACCCTGTCATAACTGTAATGAGTTATTGGTGCAAATGTTAATTGTTGTGCCCACCACCGGATTCTCCATCACCCAAATTACATTCTTAACCATGTACTAGCCTCGTGTCAGGACCTGGGGTTGATAATCTCTACTGATAAAACAACGATACTCAATAGGCGTCCTCCTCGACAGAGAGGCACACTTCGTCAAATCCTGTTGCATGATGAGTCTCTTCTAGAATATGTAACCAGATACACATATCTAAAGGGTTCTAGGTTCCACTGCTTGGACCTGTTTAACGAGACTTCGCCTCCAATGCAAAGAAAGGCTGAGAGCAGTTTTAAAGTTGTGGCAGGTTTTCATCCCAGGTATGGAGCTAATGTTAAAATTGTAAAAAGGATGTATCTTGCTTATATTAGATCATTGGTTGATTATGCGGCGCCACTACTTGCTCTTGTGTCTGAATGGAAGCTTGAAGGACTGGAAAAACTGCAGAACGAAGTTATGAGGATCATCCTAGGATGCCCTCGTACTGCCAAAATTTTAAATATGCCGAAAGAACTTAATATTACAAGCATTAATGATCGTGCTACTGAAAGAAATATCCTCATTGGGGTTTACCTAGAGTTTACCTGGAGAGAGTTCCGGGGGTCAACGCCCCCGCGGCTCGGTCTGTGACCAGGCCTCCTGGTGGATCAGAGCCTGATCAACCAGGCTGTTACTGCTGGCTGCACGCAAACCAACGTACGAGCCACAGCCCGGCTGATCAGGTGCTTGTCCAGTGCTTGTCCAGTGCTTGTCCAGTGCCAGCTTGAAGACTGCCAGGGGTCTGTTGGTAATCCCCCTTATGTATGCTGGGAGGCAGTTGAACAGTCTCGGGCCCCTGACACTAATTATATGCTTAGGCTAGCCCATTCAAACCCCTGCACAAGCCCTCCAAACTTTCCTCAGCACTGGTGAACATCCTTCCAGATGGATCGAAAAAACTGGAACCGACCTCCGCATGAACCAGCTACATGATCTATATCAAGTTGGACAACAGAGACATTTCCCTGCTCCATGGGATATTACCCCATTCCAAACTACCATTCCTCCATTTCCCCCCAAAACTCTTCTTAAATCACAACCAAAGCTTCGTCTTGAAGCCAAACATGATGCCTTAAGCTGTATTGATAACTTAGTCACACAGAACAATCTTTCACAAATTATTTACGTCGATC